ATGGATTTGAAATGTGAACATGCCTCTATCCTTGGTAAAAAAATGAGCCCGTTTGGTCGAGTTGTAATGAAGATATTCAACTTTTTCTTTGTGGAGTTACTTACTGGACACCCTATATACAACAATGAGTAAAAACAAATTGATTAGCAGGAGCCATTAATGGTTGTGTGCCTATATGAATAATAGAAAGTCAAAAATTTATAAACTCGTGATAAATACAACTTTCTGAAGATGGTTGAACGGTGAATCAATAAACGATTGTATACTCAAGGGTCGTTTTAAAACATTTGATTAGAGGTTATTCTCACGCTGTGTATGAACTAATTTTGTCCAGCCAAATGACTTATGAGATACCCTATATATATATATGTCGTATAGAATTTACCATGGTTATCGAAGTTATAATTTCTGTACAATTTATTATCCTAGATACAACTTCTATTAATATAATTCATAGATTTTATAACTTCGATAGTATTAGTTATCGAAGTTGTTCTGATCAAGTTAAACAATAAATAGATGATAACTTGAATGACATCATCGAAACTAAGATTTTAATTTAACCTTTCGCCGAAAAAAAAATATTCTTAAGTGCCTAATTAACAAAAAAATGCAATTTATGTAGAGGAAAAGATGAAAAATGAGTTTAGGAGTATGAATGTGGGTGTTGGTCTCTTCTTCAACCACACCCATACCCACACCCACATCCTTTCATAATGCAGAGCTTTTTGTCCTAAAACGGAGCGACAGATGCAGAAAATACTAAGAGCATGTGTTTTTTTATTCTTTTTTTTACATAAGTTGTACTTTCTTGTTATTGCGGTACTAAAAAAAATTTTTTTTGGTGAAAGATTAGATTAATATATTAGTTTCAATGATACCATTCAACTCATCATCTATTTATTGTTTAACTTGATTAAAACAACTTCGATAACTAATCTTATTGAAATTATAACTTCTATGAATTATATTTATAGAAGTTTTAACTTGGATGAAAAACTGAATAGAAATTATAACTTGGATAAAGGACGCTATCGAAGTTGTAATCTCTATAAAATTGTAACCGAAGTTAGAACTTCAATACGACACATACATGTTCTTGTGAGAATATGTTTTTCTTTTATCAAAGCCTTTAGCAATATTGTAAAAAAATTATAAATCATTCTTTTTTTTTGGAAACGTTGCATCAGATACTGAAGAAAGAGGCAAAGTTCTAAGAATCAAGTATATTACACACAATGAGGATTCAAGCTACTGGCTGAAAGAACAAAAGACAGATACTAGAGAATAAAATGTAAAAAGATTTTAAACCTATTCAAGGTTATACATATGAAGAGAACTGAGTTTTTTTATGAAATCATAATAATATAAAAATGATGATCTTTCAGTAATCTATTATGCGGGTACTTTGCTCATTTCACCGTTAAATGTTTTTGAAAAAAAATGATTCATTATCATACCTTGCCAAGTATGAGGACCATTGAGAGTAGCACCATATGATGGTCCAAAATACGATGGTTGATGTTGCCAAATTAATGAGCCATTGTTTTTGTTGCCTTTATTTCTATTCGACCAGGAATAATAAGGCCCAATCTTATAACCTTTTTTCGTTTTCATTTTTGATGTTGACACGAATTTAGTTTTCGCTGCTGCATTAGTCATATTATTTTCAACAACTGACTTTTCAGTTTGATCTTGATTATTTTGTTGTTCGTTTTGAGACATTCGATTTATGATCTAAAAGTATGATAACATTTAACGACTAGGAATGATGATGCAAAATGACTGAACGTTAGTTTTATATGAAGAGCGACATAGCTAGACACACGTGCTAGACATACCTGTTTTTATACGATAGAGAAGATTGTTTGGAGCCGCGTTCCTCGCCGTATCTCTCTCGCTGAAAGAAAAAAAGAAACGAATAGTTGAAAGTGTATGTATGTTTCTATGACAGTATTGGTCTCTTCGTTCATCAGGCGTCTACAGAGATATGTGAACATAGACACACATAGAAACATACATATACATAGAAACATGCTCACACATATATTGCGTTCATTTCTTTTCAGACACACTCACCATTGCTGCAATAAATCATTAATTATCAATTATTATTCTATTCGAAATTATTATATTGAGATCTTGTATTTCTTTATAAATTCAGGTATCATATATATCCTTGGTTTTTGTTTATTATGACTTTTTTACAATATTGTACGCGCTATAAAGTTGAAAATTTGGAAAATATTAATATAAAATAGTTGATTTGAGATGATAACTTTGTTTTAGTTTTTATCAGATGATTATTTTGACTCATTCATAACCTGTTGCAACAATTTTCTTGAACAGAAAAACATAAAATTTGCTTTAAAAAGACCTATCATTTCAAACGATTATTATCTATAATTTTCAGAGTGAATTTTCAAACTCTGCTTTCTACAGTCATACTTCTTCAGTCTTTTTCTGCTTATAAAAGAAAGTCAATGTGAACCATTTCGTAGAGGAAATATGACTTCGTAAAGATCAATAAGTGAATGAGACAAAGAGAAAGTGATTAATTCAAATGTGAAAAGCAGTACTTTTTATTTACTCTTTTTTTAATTTTCTCATCAATTCTCATAGAAGAAAAGATAGATAAATATTAACATTCACATGAAAAGCTTTAAAAAGATTATTTAATATTCTTGAATCATGTTCATGTTGAAAGTGATTCTATAAACGTTCTCATACGATTGACCGATCTTTTAGTGGAAAACCAGTTTGTTATATTCTGCTGCTGATTAATTTCGACTTTTTAAGATTGTGGAAAAACATTTAATTTAACTTTTACGATCAAATATAGACTTCACAAAATTTTCATATGACATGTTTTTTCTTGGGCATACTACTTCTATCACAATTTTTTTTTTATTTTGGTGATTGTATTTTTGTTCCATTTATTTGTTTTATATGTTTACACTATTTGATATCAACTTCTTTGATTTTAGAGCGTTTGCGTCGTAAACATCGGCTTATTTTGATTCGAGTGAAGATTATATTGATCTTATTTAATTTCGTTTTGATCAGGTACAGTTTGGATATTAATTTAACATTCTTCATTGTTTCTCGCTTGAAGAAAATCTTTAAAAAAGTACATATCGTGTTTCGAAGACAAGTTAAAACTGTAATTTTTAAATTTAACAAAGATCAAAAAAAAAAAAATTGCATATATCGATGTATATTAAAATAGATGTTTCTTTGAGTAAGCCCAGTGGCAATACACACTATTCTCTTCTGACCATTTTTGTTTATTTTTAAGTGGTGTACTTCTTTTCTGTCATTTTTTTTGAAAAAGATTGTCTAAGTGGAATAGAAGATACTTAAGGAAATGAATTTGTAGGACTTGTGTGTTTTTTAGCGTTTGACTCATCTTCAAATCAAAAGCAAGACTAGAATAAAAAAATTTTGTTTTTTTATTTTACCATTTTAAACACTTTTGCTTTTTTTAAATTTTTTTTGGCATTTAGTTTCTTATAATTTTTTAAATATATTCAAGATGAACGAAGGATCGTTGAAAATAAAAATAGAAATCCCAGGATGGAGTTCATTAGACTCTATTCATCTGTTTAGCAATGTTAAAGAAAAAGTTTTGTCTCAATTGATCGAACAGAACTACAATATTAATGAATCTATCATCAATCGATCATGTAAGAATGCATTATCTCTTGCGCGTTCTAGAAAAAAAACAGAACTAAAATGCTTGGTAGTATATATACCACGACCTTTTAGCGATAGTAGTCCTTCTTCAAGCTCAAATTCAGCTTCTTCTATGGAAGTAGAAGATTATGATAGTGATGAACATGAGCATTTATCACGAAAAAATGACATATCATCAGCATCTGCTCAGTTAACATTTGAATATAAGGACAATAAATGTCTAGAAATATGCACTAATTTTGCGTATCTGGAAGGCATTTTTTCAGAGTTTTTATCTCATCCTTCGAAATCCAGAAAACTATCTTGTTTTGTGGACGATATTTGTTCCCACTGTTTCAATTCAGCTGTTAAATTTTATGTTAATCTGTCAAAAATTCGTCGTGAACTTTGTAGCCAACTGAGCTGTTTTATTCGCGATGCGAAAAAAAAAGTTAAGGTTGGACATACGACAGTAAAGAAGGTATTATGTGCGACATGGAAGTTTATATTTCATTTGAGCACTGTTGAAACAGTAAATAAAAGCAATGAGTTTTTCTCATCGAGCTTCGATTCATATTCAAGTGTTAGTTTTCATGATCGTATTTTATTGATTCGAGAAAAGGATACTATATGTATTGAACGTGGCAATGCACGCCTATACATGCAATTCAGCGAATCATTAGCTACTCGAGCACTCGAAAAATTTAATTCAACCAGAAGTATTGATGCTGATGAAATTATTCTGATTATTAAAAATTACTGTCAGCAACGACAATTAATACCAAACATTAATAAAGCTGAAGAAGATTTCAAAATAGCAGTTTTAGATAGGCAAACTGAGATTGTTAAATCAAAATTCTTTACTTGCCTCGTTGAAGTCGATGATAAAGATTCATCTCCTTCGGGCGAACAAAGTTTTGATTTGGATGTTCTATTGGGTCCTATTTATTCTACGAGAGGAATCAAAAGAAAAAGTCAGTACGTGTCTTTTGATAGTGAAAGTAGTGATGAAGATGAATGTTCTAATATACGAGATAATATATGGCAGTCAGACTTAGTGTCTTGTCCTAAAAAAGACAAGAAACAAGATACTATCAACGATCGTAAAGAAGAACTCCGAAGACAGTTTCTTCATATCAAAGACGAGCATCACATAACGGATTCGGCCATCAAGGCTATGTACAAATTTTTTAAAGAAAGTAGAGAAACGTTTTATCCAATGGCAGAAATTGAACGAGTGCGCAAGAAAGCTAATCAGAAAATTCCAATTAAATTCACAAGTGATTCAGCTTATGTACCTTTTGAATTTGCTCTACGCACTGCTGTGTTTGTTGCTATGAAGTTTCAGCCCGATATCTTGCAACTAAGTCGACTTTCCTTCCGATTGAATATGGATGGCACTCTCATGGGTAACAAACATGTTATAGCTATATCAGTAAATTGCGTCGATGGAGGACCCTCTTGCCAGACTGCTCGGAAGCTGGTACCTGTCGGCATTTTCGAAATACAGAAAGAGTCGAATGAGCTTTTAAGAAAAACTTTACCAAAAGATTTTCTTGATTCCATTCAATCTGTAAAGAGCTTGAAAGTCAGCCATAAAAAATATGTTGAGGTGAAACTTCGACTAGGTGGTGACTTTCAAAATGCCGTCTATGTGTTCGGTTTGGCTGGTGTTCATAGCAACTATCCCTGCGTTTTTTGTACACAGAGTAAGACATATCTGCATGTTAGCGAAAAAAATACGGAATGCGAAGAAGAAGTGTGGGTAGGTACTGGGAAAAATAAAAGCAAACAAAAACGAAAAATTATCGTTAATCCTACTTCCTCCTATGATCCCACACAAGGTGCTCGAACTCTCAAAGAGAAATGTATTTGCTTAGTAAAAAAAGAAAAAGCAGGAACAAATAACGAATTAGGATATCAATCCGAACCTCTTTTCGGAAATTTATTCGAGTTCAGTGATTATGTAATCGACAGTCTTCATATGCGGCTAAGAATTTTCGATATTCTTTTAAAGGATATTTTAGCCGAAGCATCACGAACAGGGGAATATGAGCCAGCACATACAAAAAGACTAGAGGAAAAAGTTGATATTTTGAACAAGCATTCTGCTATGACTATAGGAAAACGCTTTTTCTTCAAAATTGAAACAGAAAATAATGTAAAAACGATTGTACCATGTGGTCGTTTTTCTGGCCATTTACAAGAAGTATTCTTTATCGACTCATTCCCGTACGAGAAAATAATTCAAAATGAGAAGACTTCTGAAAACGCCAAAAACTTGGTTGAGAAATTTAAGACCATCGTGAAACTTATCAAGACCGAGAAATCAAAAAGAACAAGTGTTCTAGCCGACGTTGCGAAATCTTTTGTGAAAGATTTTCGCCAATCCGGATTGCGGACAGGCTGTACACCTTACATGCATTTAATCGGCACCCACTTGGCAGAACAGGATGCAAATGAAGATTTGCGAGCATACGATATGCAAGGAGTTGAGAAGTCGAACGACTTACTTTCTCGTCTCTATTTTTCATCTAGCAATCGAGCCAAAAATCCATTAAAAACGATGATTCAGAGTTTATATAGACGGCTCGAAATGAACTTTACCGAGCCAAGTGAGCGGGTAATAATGAGTCGATATGCTTTACAAGGAAGATTAAATGAGACTGATAACGAGGAGGATGGTAATTGTTCCAACCCTATATCGACGCCTGCTCTGAGTTTACACCGATTCGATGATCCATCTACAGATGACGACGAAAACGAAGAAGATGATGATAATGTAACAGATGAAGAAGATTCAGATCAAGCCCTGTCTTATCTAAGTCAAAATGCGCTTACAATGAGTCGAGAAAAGAATCGTTGGGAAAGTTTCAGAAAAAAATAGATTTATGTGATCGTCACAATATTTCGTCAATCCTTTCTATACCCTCCACGATGGCCGGTATAAATATAGTTGATTGTGTTCGATCATAAAGTCTTTCCTAAGTTATTTTCTTGTAAAGAATATTTCTACTTTCTTCCCGTCGTCAATATAACCTACTTAAGTT